CTCATTCCATATAAATTCCTCTTTACAATCTATCAAATGCAGAAGGATGCTTGAGATTAAATAAATGTGTTACTAATATTAGCGAATGTCTGATGCTTGAAATATTTAAGAGATTTTTGGACATTTTTAATTACACTCCCCTAATTGCTCTGGGAATTGACAAAGAGGATGAATGATAGGTAGTGCTTCAGGTAGTTGTCTCCATGGTCCCTTGTTTCACTCATAAGGATGACTTATTTTATAAGGAGATACAGGTCAGTAAGCAGAAAAGAGAAGCATTAAAAAGGAGGTGGCTCTCTAAGAGACAGTGATGCAAGCATTCATTTCTCCATTTAAGATTTGTAAACTTTGCTAGAGACACAAAGTAGACATGGTTCCTACCTTCGAAACGCTGACAGTCTAGTCAGGGAGTTAGGTGTGTGATAGAATGCATTCTTCTTGCCATCTACCCTTAACTTTAGATCTTTGTACAGAAAATACGTTCTTTGCCCCCATAGATTCTCCATGCCTGCCAAGAGCCTTTGGTCATGTCAGGCCAGTGCCCAGCTCTTTGGTTATCCAGATACATAAAAAGGGCAGAGGGTGAAAACTATGGGGCTTAACAGGAAAAGGGAATGCCCTGAGTTACAGGAACTAAACAGATGTATTTGATTAAATGTTGGGAGAGAACAGAGAGTGGGCAGGAGGTAAAGCTAAGTTGGGTGAAGAGTTTTGTTTGTGTTTGTGGTGGGTGATGCAGAGCATTTAAAAAGGGGCAGGCTTCAGAGAAGCCAGAGAGAGAGAGAGGCTATGAGAGAAATGTGAAGGAGAGAGAAATGGAATTGAGAAGTGGTGCCCTTTCTTTTAAGTTAGAATCCCTTTTAACGCCGTTAGAAGAGTACAAGTAAAGTGTGGAGTTCCATTTCAGTTTTTTTGTTTTTCTTTTTTCATTTGTTTTTGGTTGCTGGACGCTGATTTTATATATTCGATTGGGCCATGTAGTACCCTGGCTTTGCTTAGGGTTATATCCAAAATTTCATTTATGTGGGGCCAGGAACTGGCAGAAATAGACCTTCAGTGTAAAAACAAAAGGTGAATGTCTTTTGTAGGTCAGTAATACTGCAAGGGTAGGATGAAGTGGGAAGATTTGTATTGTGTGTGTGTTTCTGTGTGTGGGCACGACTCTCACCCTTTCTTTACTGTTCTGTTACCAAAGTCTCTAAATTGGTCTTCCTGCCTTCAGAGTTACCTTCAAAAAACAAATCCAGTTATGATGTTTTTTCCTGCTTAAACTCTCTGTTCCCCACAGGATATGGCCAAACCTCTGAGTAGAACCAACAAACCCTTCAATTTCATGCTCAATCAACATACTAACCACAATTTCTGACCTCTCTTTTAATAAGCACTCAGGTTGCAATTCCTTTGAACTTACTGCCCCCTAAACTCACTTCACGGGTTTTTACTCTTGGACCCTAGTCCCTGATAATGCTGTGAAGCTTCTAGAATGATCATTGGTTTTAGAATTGAAGATCATACTTCTTTGCTCTTGTCTTGCTGTCTGGTTTTATAATGACAGATCAGGCACGCCAGACTGTGGGTTTAACTTTATCCTGACCTAGATTAATTTCTTGGACACTGTAACTAGCTGTATCGTTACGCTAAGAAACCTCCCTGTCCAAGGAAACTTGGTGAGTGTAATAAATTTTACTGAATATCATTTGGAGAATAAAATGTGGGCTTTATATTTTCCCAGAATTTAAAAACCTATTTGGGAATGCTGACACATTGCAGACCAACCCTCTTGTGGCAGTGGTATCCTCCCAGAATCCCTCCCTTCTCTGTGTTAGTGGTTGTATAAGGAAGTGCCTGGGCAGGTGACCTTGGTTCTAGGGTGTATGGCAGTCCTGCATTTCTTCTTCTTAAAACAGTTACTTTTTTCCAGACACGAAGAAGGATCAGCTAGCCCAGTGCTTGGCATCTATAGATGCTGCTATGTTATGCTGTTTCTTTTTGTCCATTTCGGGTTGTTGGAAGAGTGGCAGCATCTCTTCCTATGAGAGGGAAGGTCATTTCTTTTGAATTCTGAAAACTCTACTAAATCTGATCCCATCAGTGGATGGTGGTGGTGATAGCATAAATGTGACAAATATGTTAGGGTTATAGCAACTCTCACTGGCCTTACAAATTGATTTTTACATCCCCTTGCACTTAGCTTGCAAACAGGAAGCAATTCCTTCACTTTAATAACCCAGGTGGATAGTTGCTTGCTGTGGGGCTCAGGAAGACAGTTTATATAAAACCAGAGACAGGTTTGGGTTGGACACCCATCAAGCAACAACATCATGCTTCCAGCATAGGAACTGGTTCCACTGTAGTTTTTGGTTTAAAAATATTTGTATCTTCATTATAAGGAAATTTTAAATATTGGAGTTTCAGCTTGATAAGCTCATAACGAGTAACTTGTCCTTTAGATCCGTGATTCTCACTTTCGGGGGCTTGTCAGATAGTAAGACAGGTTGAACACATAGTAGGGCCTGTGAAGTTGTCTGTAGTAGCATAATTCTCTTTTCCAATGTAAATGAATAATAAGGCAATACTAGTACTATATTTCTGATAAAATAACTTGAAGCAATATGAGTACTAGTTGTGGGATACTTAATATTTCTAGTTCAGGTGGTGATGTTGACTTTGTTTTTTGAGATAACAGTCTTCTAAACAATGGATAATTTTAATTATGCAGGAGAGAGAGGGCGTCGGGAGAGAGAGATACTGTGTGAGTGAGCATGGTGGGAAGGTCATGCTCATGGATTCGTTTTTTAGTTTATTTTCTCCTAATGACAACACACCGTAGAAGTCTTTTTATTTGAGTAGCATTGAGATTGAAAAGGAAAAACAGGGTTTCAAGTTAAATATACCTGAGATTAAATTGAAGCTCTGTCATTTACTGGCTTTCTGACCTTTGTTAGAAAAACTTCTTGAGTGTCTGTTTACATACCTATAAAATATAAGAAAAATATACTTCTTGAAGGAGAACTGTGAACTTCACATTAAATAATGTATATTTGCTATTTAGCCCCATCTTGTCACAGGCAGGTGATCAGTAAATGTTTGGTGAATGAATGAGTACAACTGTAACTGAGCTGAGATGCTGCATAGGTTATAGACTGTATGTGTGAACAACATATGGCCATTTGCTGAGCATCTCTTAATTGTCTCATACTCTGGGCTAAGCACTGGGGCTACTGATGTGTTAAGTCTCAGGCATGGCCTCAAGGAAGTCACAGGCTACTGTGGAAGCCAAGACCCCACACTAAAGGTCGTAGGATCATGCAATAGGGACACTGCTGTGGGGCATAACAGGAGTTATGGGGGGCCTATGTGGGAGAGCTTCCTGAAGGGAGTGACCTTTGAGCTGTCTATGGACCGGCAACTGTGAATTACTTTAATGTATCAAATATGAAAGTAATAAAGAAAGTGGAAGCAAGGAAAGGCTCTTAGGACCTGAACACACATCCGGTTTCCTAGTTTTGGATGGAAGGTTTTTTTTTTTGAGATGGAGTCTCACTCTGTCACCAGGCTGGAGTGCAGTGACCACAATCTTGGCTCACTGTAACCTCTGTTTCCTGTGTTCAAGCGATTCTCCTGCCTTAGCCTCCCAAGTAGCTGGGATTACAGACACCTGCCACTGTGCCTGGCTAATTTTTTTGCATTTTTAGTAGATACGGGATTTCACAATATTGACCAGGCTGGTCTCGAATTCCTGACCTTGTGATTCGCCTGCCTCAGCCTCCCGAAGTGTTGGGATTATAGGTGTGGGCCACTGTGCCCGGCTGGAAGTTTTATGGATCAAAATATTTTCGTTTTTCATGGAGTTCCTGAATTCTCCTTACTGTCCCTCTATCAGCACAGGAAGATCCAAGGAGGAGAGGGGAGATTGTAGGGCACACCATTGTAAAGCTGTGACTCCTAAGCTCTATGTTCTGGATGGCCTCATCAGGGAGGCAGTGGTGTATTGGTGGTTTTCTATGCGTGGGGAAGACTTGCTGTTGATTTCAAGGAAGTGAAAGCAAGGAAAGGGCAGGGCAAATTGACAGTGATGACACTCACTGCTTTAGAGGTGAGTGTGACTGGTATATCCTCATGTAGCTACATGGCATTGATAGTCAATGCGCACTATGCTCCTGCAGGTCGGTGGGAGAGCATCTGAGATAGCAAGATGGCAGCCACACTGGATAATGAAGGCTCCTCCAGGCTATGTCCTGTATCCCAATGATTCCTGCCTCTCTCCAAACTGCTCTCTTCCAACACCCCCTGGCAAGGATATATTCTCTGGGAAATCCACTTGCACCAAAAAAAAAAAAAAAATACAATTATTTCTGTCAACAGAATGCAAGTCATTCCTTTGCATTCCTGGGTGAGTGGAATCTCTGAGGCTTCAATTACCAAAACTACGAAAACAGCATCTTCTTAAGATTTCCTTAGAGTACATGCTGCACAGGGAGAAGAAGATGCTTTGTGAAAATTGGGCATTAAAATTGCCTTGAAAATACGTTTATAATTGCATATAAAACAAAAAGAGCATGTGAGCTGTGTGGTTTTATTTTTAATTATCTGTTTTTTAGTAAACATTCCACTAAGATTTCAAGAAATAAAATCTCACATATGAAATCTCACAAATAAAATATGAGACATAATAAAATCAGATGATATAATGTATATGAAAAAATGGGACAAGAGGAATATAAATAGAAAATATATACAGTCTTGTAAAAGTAACATTGTGCTCTTTTATGAAATAAATATCTCTAGAATATTATAAGCAAACAAGTTTTAAAACTTAGAAATGTAGTCTATTATTTTATCTTAGATTTCGTGTCTAAACATTAACATATTTATATTTCTTTTTGGTTTTATTAATCCAATGAAGCAGCCTTCACCTAATTCCCACAGCCTAAATGTAGTCTACAGATGCTATCTTTTCATAAAGAAAAAATAAATTTATATTTCATGGTATGGCTATATTATTTTCAATGAGAGGAGTTTTATTGTATTGGATTTTTTTATTCCTGTGTAGCAAAACAGTCTCAAAATCGATAAAACAGCAGAACAAATAATGAATAATATGTGGAAAAGTAGGTCACTTGGCATTAATTCATAGAGAAAATAGGTCTGCTCAAACACAGGTCTGAGAGGTGTAATTAGTGGTAGTCACTCTGTGAATGCTGGAAGGAGCTGTGACTGATTGCTGTCCTCCTTCTTTTTCCTCCTGTACTTCCTGGACTCTTGTGTCAGCAAACACTGAAAAAGCAAATAAAAGAGTTGTTTCAGCAGTTCTGAGAGACAAGGCCAAATGAAGGTCTGGGGTTAATGGTGACTGAATTTCCGAGTCCCCTCAAACGATGACAAGCACTGCAACAAAGTGTATGTGGAAGCCAGCTCCCTTCCCTGGAGCAGCTTCACTTGGGGAAATGCAACTTAAAATATAAAAATGGGAGGGCCAGTCCAATAATCATGGCTTCCATGTTTGTTGCTGACATTTATATACAGTAGCCCCTCCTTGTCTGACGGGGATATAGTCCAAGGCCTCCCCCAGTTCCAAGACTCCCTAGTGGATTCCAAGATCCATCCCAGTGGATGCCTGAAACCATAGAGAGGACCAAACCATATATAGGTCACACACACACACACACATAGACACACACACACACACACACACACACACACACACACACAGAGGATGCTTTCTTGGTCCAGTAACCGAGACAGCTACTAAGTGACTAACAGCTGGAGTGTTTACAGTGGATATGCTGGACAAAGGGATGATTCTTGTTCCAGATGGGATTGAGTAGGAGGGCATGAGATCTCATCATGTGACTCAGAACGGCGCACAGTTTAAAACTTATGAATTGTTTATTTCTGGGATTTTCCATTTAATATTTTCAGGCTGGTTGGCCTCAGGTAACTGAAACCACACAAAGGAACACTGCAGAGAAGGGGGCCTCCTGTATCTCAGGCCAGTGTAACTGCTACTTGTTGGTCTCATTAGAATACTTCTCCATAAGCTTGCCTGTGGCCTTGAGAGAACCATGCTGGCCATTTATGATAGTGGTGGTGACGGATTTTTATTTATGGAATTCCTGATATCTAAGTCAGCATATGTAGGACAGAGGTAGCACACTTGTAGTTCCAAGATATATTTTGTTTAGGTTGCATAATATTTAAAAAATTTTTGAATTAGTCTTCAATATTTAAAAACCAGGAGATTTCCTGTTAAAAAAATCCCCGCAATTTCTGGATTTTCTTAACAGATCAGAAAATCTGGCAATGGGTCCATATTCTTTCCAGCTAGAGCTAAACAGCAGTAGTACTTGCTATTTTTTGTTTGTTTGTTTTTGATTTTTTTTTTGAGATGGAGTTTCGTTCTTGTCCCCCAGGCTGGAGTGCATTGGCGTGATCTCTGCTCGCTGCCACCTCCACCTCCCGGTTCAAGCAATTCTCCTGTCTCAGCCTCCCGAGTAACTGGGATTACAGGTGCCCGCCACCACACCCAGCTAATTTTTGTATTTTTAGTAGAGACAGGGTTCACCATGTTGGCCAGGCTGGTCCTGAACTCCTGACCTCAGGTAATCCACCTGCCTTGGCCTCCCAAAGTGCTGAGATTACAGGCATGAGCCCAATAGTACTTGTTAAATCCCTACCCAGGTGTGTGGTTTCTAGCTTGCTAGAATCTACCCTGCTCCCTGATATGTGACTTCCTACCTATTTCTTTCCTTTATATTGTCTACTTTTGTGCTTTTGGACCAGTGAGCATCAAAATGGCTGCATACTAGAATCACCTGGAGAACTTTTGGGCCTCAGCTGCACCCACTCCCACTAGCCTTGATTAAATTGATCTGGAATGGGGTATTTTAAATAGCATCTATGGTGATTTTAATGTTCAGCCAAAATTGAGAAACTATGGTCCAGGGAGTATAGACAACAGTCACTGTCTATACTCATATGAGAAAATAGTCATTTTCTCATGATTTTCCCAGTTGAGCCATTGCTTGACCTTGTGATCTTTATTAAGGAAATTGTAAGTTTCTTCATTCTCCCAAGGAGAATTGATCTAATGTTTTCTTACTTTAAATTTCATAGCACTTGGGAATTCACTGGGGCTCATGAAATTCACAGATTGTGTTGGGGGCAGAAGATGAATCAAGGATCTTGCCTTTCAAGCATTTACAAATGCTGAGGATCACAGTTTTAATGTTCAGATTTCTCCTCTTATAAAACACAATGTGGAGAGTTGTAGTTTACTACCCTTAAGATCTCTGTCTCTCTCTTTCTCTCTGGTGGTGTGCAAGGTAGGGATTTTTTGGCTGAGCAGAAGGGGATGCATCTGTAGAATATGTCACAAGGTCCACCTTTTTAATGCCCATAAAAAGACAGGATGACAATTTAAAGCCTCATCTGTCACAAGCGTTTTCAGTCTTGCCGTGATTTATGAAACACTTGTAAATTGCCATCATGCCAGCCCATAACATCCTGGCAGCTGCTTCAAAAGCAAAACACTCACCCAAAAATATGACCTGTACGTGGGATAAAAGTTTCAGAAAGGGAGTGTTGTTTAATAGGTGCTATTATCACGAGCTTACAAGGGAAAGTTTTTTTAGTAAGAAATGTTTCTTTCCCACCCACAGGACTGGTTCCCTGCACAAAGCGTGGGGAGGGAGAGTTCTGGCTTGTAGTTTTCTGTAGATCCTATGAGCGAGCTAGAGTTCAAGAAGGATGTGTCAGAAAGAAAAGGCAAGAGGAGAATTGAAGTTCTCATTAGAAATGCACTATCCAAGGTTCTGTTCTCTGTGCTCTACACTTCGCCTGCATTCATTCATTCCAGTAGCCCTGTGCAGGAAGACGGAAAGCTTTGCACAAGTCAGGATGGGTCAGTTTGACATGTATGTAATGGACTGACAGGTTTAGGATGATAAAAAAGTAAAAATATATGTGTGTGTGTGTGTGAAAGAGAGAGAGAGAGAGAGAAAGGGAGAGAGAGAGAGTGTGCTAGAGAACAGTTAGGGCTGTGTCCAATTGATTTTTGTACCAAAACTTTCATGTTAAAACACAGTGACTTCTTTAATAAACCTTGTTGACAGAGAACCATACTCTTGGACTGTCAGAAGAAACTTAACAATTAAGATTCCTAAAGTGCTCTTTGGACATGGATTTGCTATCATCTTAGACTTAGATGGAATCAGATGTAGAGAATTTACCTCAGCTGTATTTACAATGGAGTGATCTGTTGTAAGGGGCAGGGGTGTGTGTGTGTATATGTGTGTGTGTGTGTGTGTGCATGTGTGTGTGTGTGTGCATGTGTGTGTGTAAAGACCAGAGATCCAGAATTTTAAGGCAAGATGTTGCTGCTTACAAGACCTGAATTACAGAAAGAAAGCGGGGAGTGCACGAACCAGGGGCCAGGAACTGCCTTGGCCCAGTTTTTTAACACGTCAAAATGACAGGTTTTCTTTTATACTCAATCAGTCCTTCAAGCTCGGCCTTGTGGTCAGCTGGGGAGAAGGAGCCTTATGGCACTGAGGTAGGAAAAAGCAGACAAAAAGACACTGAACAGGCGAAGGGAAGGCAAACTTATTATAAGTTGCCAGACTTCCAAAAATCTATTTGAAAGGGGCATATTTAAAAGGAGTTCTGATAATATACATTTGAAAGAATGCCAAATATACATTTGAAAAGAGGTCGGATATACATTTGAAAACAAAGGGAGGCACCGTATTTGTTCTGGAGAACAAAGAGGATTATGACATTGAAATTCTATAAAGGGGTCATGATTGTAGGAGGAGTAAAATCTTAAAGATATTTTTGGTAAGTTGACTTTTTAACAAGATAAGACATTCTCTGCATTATGGAAGAGCTGATTTCTTCTCATATTCTATCTTAATCATCTTGGTATTCCCCTTCATGTAGTCCGACCCAGAGTAAGTGCTCAAAGAATACATTTTGATAAATGATGTTTCACTCATGGGCAGCAAGAAGTTAGACTTAATCAAGAGAGCACTTAATTATTTGATGCAAACCACTGTGGGAGAGCAATTTTGTTTTATCCTCTGACAATGTTGAACTTTATCTGAGCCCTGTGATTCCAGAAAGCACTGACAGTTAAGATATGCCAGCATATGTTTGTGTCCTGAAAATGGCTGTTCTTAAAGAAGAATTGCACTGGACGAAATTAAATAGGCAAGGAAGGCTTTATTCAAGACTATTGCAGCAGGGGTCAAGACTATTGCAATAGGGGAGAGAGAGTGAGCTCAACTCTGAGTACAGCAGAAACAGCTGGGAATCCATAGCCAACAGGCAGGGTGAGAAAGTCAGTGGATGGAAAATTACTAAGAGGAGCTTGGTTAGGTATGAAGAGTGGGGAATTCTTGTTGAACTGGTTTGGCAGGATTTTTGCTGAATTGGGTCAGCAGGCCAAGTTTCAGGCCTAGTTGAGAAGAGGGTTCAGAGGTGCCTGACTGAAGTTTGATTGAGGAGGGAGTCCTTGTCACTGCAAAGAACCATGCTGCCCTTGTCTATTCTTGGGTAAAACCCACCCCAGCCTTCCTCATGGCTCCTGTAAGACTCACAGATGCTGAGCTTGCTTATCTGCCTCCATGAAGCCCTGCACTCCTTTCATTGTCTGAGATCTTCCTCATTAATAAGTATTCTCCTCATCCCAACAACCTGAATAAAATCATCTCCTTGGTTGACTGGTGCAATTTGTCTTTCACAAATGTCTCGGGCAGGAGCGGAATCCTCACCTTTGGAACCCCGTTCACTCCACCCAGGTAACAAGGCTTCTTGGAGCACTTTGTGCTGTTTCTGACTAGTGTTTGCGCACTCCATAGTGAGTCAGACTCTGCCTTCCCCAAATTGAATCCTAAATGATACCTTTGTCTATAATACTGACATCTGAGATTTCTAGAGGGTCCCTGGAAAATCACAAATAATTAGTTTTTTCACCTTTAAAAAGAGAGGCACTAGAAATAATTAGGTTTATGTGATATGTTACTATTGACGAGTTGCTTGGGAAGAGCTGTCAAATCAGAAGAGGGGCTTTGCCTTCTCTAGGTTAAGTTTGTAAGAGTAAAATATTAACACAAATATTTAGGAAATTACATGCTTTTAGAGAACTTCCTAGAGAATTGTCAATGCCCTTGCTATCCATGATGTTCCTATTTATTAATATCTGACTCCTGATACTGCTTTGCTTGATAATAGACAACAACAGGATAGTATTATCAGTCATAGTGTAGCAGGACAAG